ATATATATATATATATATATATGTTCCAAGAATGATTCGTAATGTCTTTGGCCCAAATACATATTCCACAAATGTCCTTCTATAATGAAGAGTTTCTTGAAAATCATGCACTTATGATCAAATTGAATATACAAAGTATCCTATTTGAATCTTTGACCGCAATTAACTAATAACTTATGTATATTTCACGAAAAAAAAGAAGTTATTTTCAAGGTAGATATCGTATGATGATCATTAATTTTTCTTAAGTAAATATTTTTCCGGTAAGAGATTTCAAAAATGAAATAATCTTTATTATTGAAATACTTTGAAATAAATAATAATCTTTATCTCAAAATAATATTTAAATAAAATTATAAAATTTTTAATGCATCAATCATTAATCAATATAACTTTTATTTATATATGTAGAATAAAATATCGTAGAAAAATTTATAAGATAATATTTTCTTATATTAATTTTTTACTAAAATTATATGATTTCATTTAGAAAATCGTCTATTTTAGAGAAAATTTATAATCATTGCAAAATATGCACATATATTGATTAAAATTTTATATAAGATATATTTTTTATATTGTTATGAAACAAATATTGCGTAGTTAAGAACTTGTTTTTATTAGATAAGATTATAATGTCACGAAATAATAAATTAAGAATTTTTTAAATCTCAAAAATCAAAATAAGTGCATATAATATAATGCAATATATATAATATAAAAAATTGAAAATGATAAAATGTAATATGAAAATAATGATCATATAACTTTTTTGAATTTCTCTGAATAACAGAATTATTTTATGCAAGTTAGAGTAAAATATAATTTTTACGATATGCATAAGAAAATAAGCTGTATGCATAAAAGAATATCTTTACTAGTAATTTTTCAAGTAAATATTCGGTTCCATATGCATAATTTTAAATCTGTTTGTCACTTTATCTTAATTTCTTTTAACTTGTAATCATATATTATTTATGCAAATTCGTGTCGCTCAGATTTGCAAAAATAAAAAAAAAACATTTTTTAATTCTCTTTTTATAGTCTTTAATGAGTCTAGACATCGCAGATATTTTAGTTATTTTTATCTATATTATGATTATTTATCGGTTCATCTTTTAGTAAACATATATAATATATTTTTTCTTTCAAAATCTAATTTATTTAAATCGAAATGATATGATGAGTCAATCAACATACATAAATTATTTTTTATCGACAAGCGGATTTCAATTATTCAACATATAAATTGCAGTCGAAATATTCATATATTTTAAAAAATTTTCGGTTTATTAATATAAAGTAAATAGTTAAATAATCAAATAAATATCAATAATATTTATTAAAATTTTCCATCATTTATCTACTACAAATAATTTATACATTTAATATTTATAGACCTTTATTTATCTTTATGCACATCTGAATCATATTTTAAATAAATCAATAGTCTTATGTTCTTTATTAATTCAATGTTTCTCATTTAATCTTTATCAAAATATATTTTCGAAATAAAATATTAAAAAAAAAAAAACAAACGAATGATCAATACGATGATCAATACAAAAAAAATAGTAATAAAATATAAAAAATTAAAAATATTATTAATTACTTTTTCTTTTCTATTACAGAATGCATAATATTATTTTCATTGGGTATAAGTTGCAGCATTTTATCTTATTTAATATATATAATAAATCCATCAAAATTAATATTGGAATATGTGAGTGTTTTATAATTACATTATAAAAATGTTAAATGCAAATATAAAAGTATAAAAGTATACATATTTTAATACATGATTATTAAACTTTAACATTAATTGCGAAAATATACTTTTAGAATCTGGAAATGAGACCAAATTCAATGGCTTTTGAATTATGGAAGAAACCTCCAATTCAGATTTACATAAAAGTATACATATTTAATATAACGAACATGGAAGAATTCCTCAAAGGCGGAGTAAAATTAAAAGTTGAAGAAATTGGACCTTATGTTTATCAGTAATCAATATATAATTAATAATTTCATAATTAAATAAATTTTATTTACGATATTAATTGTATTTTTTTCTTAGAGAAATAGTGGAAAACCATAATATTACTTGGTATGAAAATATGATTTCATACATTCCAAAAAGAACAATAATATACGTTCCAGAAATGTCAATTAATGATCCAAAAAAAGATATAGTTCATGTTCCAAATATACCTATGTTGGTAAGTGAATATCTAATTTATACATCAATTAATAATGATCTGTTATTTACTAATTAATAAAATTAATGTATCCATTATAAGCAAAAATTTCAATCATTTTATTCAATTGATTTATTAACAATCTCTAAAAAAAATTATAAAAATATATATTACATATCTTATCTCATACATATCACTAAAAAAAATTATAAAAATATATATTACATATCTTATTAAATGCAAAATTAATTACAAATATAATTAAACAGTTAAAAGTTAATTAAACACAATTAAACAGTTAAAAGTTAATTAATATTCAATAAAAATAGTTTAATTATAATATAGAAATAAATTTAATATAAATCATAATAATCATTATTTTTTTTTCTAGAAAATATTTTATTTAACAATTTTTTACAATATGATCTGTTGACATAATAACATGTAACAAAATATATGTATATTGATAATTAATAATTTCATATTGTTTTTAAAATTTTCTATGTATAATAACTTATTCCCAATCTTCATTCATGTTTATAAAAACAATGGTACAATGAATACGTAATATATTCTGATATAATACATTATTTTGATATCGACTCTATTTGTTACAAGACTATTTAAAAAATATATAATATCAATGATATATGTATGGAATTTTCGAAATTCATTAATACATACATGAAAATAATTGTTTTTTTTATATTTTTTTTTTGATTACTATTAATCGTGATTTTAAATATTGTTTAATATACTGATCAAATCTGTAGAAGATCATTCCTCAAAGAGCATAACAAATTAATTATTAATAAAAAAAATATATGTTTATACATTTTTTTGTCTTTCGTAATTATGCCCTTATATTTAATAACACTCAGGGACTTTCTTCATCGTTGCACGACGCTGGATTTTTTGTTAACTATCCTTGGACGAGCTTGATAAATATATTGGATAGCAAACCGATATTAAAACTGAGCGTTCATGATTATCTTTGGGGCTACGAAGACAAACTGATTCGTTTTGCTAGTGGAATTGTGCCAAATTTTATAGACTTCATTAAATTTGGATTACTCGACAGAGTGAGTAATTTAATTAATTAATAGTAAATAATAGTAAATCAGTTTAATAAATAATTAATTTATTGTTTTAATAGAATTTATTTATCTTAAGTGTATCTAAAATATTTGAAATTACATTTGATTGATATAAATATTGAACAAATATTTTACAAAATTTGAAAAAATAATTTAATATAAAAGAAATCATTGTTTCAAATCTTCAGAATTAAGAAATCAAAGTTTTTAATTTATTACATTAAAATTTCTACTATTATAATAAATCTGAATTAATAGTACAAAATTAATATTCATGATTTAATATTCAAAAAAAAAAAAAAATAATCGATAATTAACATAATTCTCGTGCTTAATTTAACATGCTTTTTTCCAAATACCACTATATCATGTTATTATCTAAAATTTCAAAAACTTATGGTACTTTTTATACACTTTTAACTTTTCTAACGTATCATAAAGAAGTCAAAAAAAATGTAAAGTATTTTAATAATGAATTGGCATTAAGTAAGTGAATTAATAATATATTTGTTATATACAAAAAATTGATATATGTCGCATAGCAGTTAATGTGTTAATCATGTTTCGACATATTTAACGATTAATTCTTATTTTCAAGAAACTTGTATCATTAAATTGACGTAAATACACTAATTGCATAGTAACTATATTGCGCATAAGTGTAATTATTGGTTATAAACTTCAAATATAAATTATATTGGTTAAATTAAAACAATCGACTTTGTTTGCGCATAAATAAAATGAATTATTTCAAGTTTTTATAATACTAAACTAGCATATTTATACCACGTGTAAACGCTTTCGAATAATGCATTCATATATATAACATATATTATAAGAAAAATATAATATTACATATGCATTAATATACGAGCAAAACGCGATATTATGTTTAAATATTTTTACTATTTCAAATTAGTAATCATTTTCGCAATTGGTTCTACTTATTGATCCTTTCACTATTCACGCATACATGCATTTCAGAGTTCATGAGGTTAAAGTCAACAACTTTTTATCGTAAAAAAAAGACGGTAATAGTTGTTCCTAGACTTGAATAAAGAGTTGCAGTTATGAATTAATTTGAACTAATTATTCTTTACCGGAAATTTCATCAACTTTTATGATTATTTAATTTATATAGCAAAAGTTTTGTTTTTTAGATTTTTGATTATAAAAATGTCGTCATAATATGTGTATCTAATCAATAAGTAATTAATATTTTGAGTTTGTATTGTATTATGCAAGATTTATTCCTAAAGACTTCTATATATGTATTTGAGAAGCGGAAAAATAATTTATACATTAGAGCGATATCTCATTAAAAGCATAATGACATATTACAACAAGTTCAATGCACTTGCAATCATTAATATGCAATTAATTTAAAATATCTTTTATTAACTTCGGAATGTTTTTTGTGAAAATATTCAATAAATTATGATTTTATTTTTCTTATTGTTATAAAACATATAACAAATATCAGAAAGCTATAAATAAATTATAATCGAATATAATTTATTTGAAATGATAAATGCATTTCCGCTTATTTAACGTTAATTTTATTATATTTGAATATTTATTATCGCTTTATAGTACTTGTTATCAAGACTCAATAAATATTATTTTTTATGAAAAAGTGTTTAATAATGTTATGAATAGCGTAATGAAAAAAAAATTTATTGATAATCTTTAGATGTACGACGAAGGGGAAAATATAGTATTGATGAATATTGCAAAAAATAAAAATATGACTGAGGAGGAAGGACGTTATTTAAGTATACAATTATATAATGGTAGTCCAGGAATGTCACAATGGGGTTATCGAGAAGAAGATGGAAATGAAACATATCCGGAGTATGAGATCTAAATAAAATAGAAATGTAATAAAAATTAAATAAAATACAAATAGTTACAAATTATTCATGTTACAGGAACACTATTTGCAATCGCATTAAAGGAACTACTGAAGGAGAATTATTTCCATCTTATCTAGACAAACATGCTGTATTCAGAATATTTCGAAAAGCATTCTGTAAAGCTATACCAATTGTTTTCAAAAAGGAAGTGATAATGGATAACGGTTTGGATGGTTATCTTTACAGCATGTCGGATGATTTTTTGGATACTGCTGAACAAAATCCGAATAATGCCTGTTATTGTCGGAAAAAAAAACAATGTTTGAAGAAAGGACTTTCTGATATAACACCATGTTATTATAGTAAGAATCTTCTGTTAATTGAAAGATATAGTGTCTAATCTATTTTCTATTGAAATTTAGCTTGAAATGTAGCTTTATTACTAAAAATTTAAAAAAATATTGACTTACTTTATCTTGATTTATTCGATGATGTGAACTCCTACACGAGTTGAGTTATGAATATTATGATGGCAAAATTTTTATTCTGCAAGAATAACATCATTGTAATATTAAATATCAAAGTTTGAACTTTACATGAAGAATATAATGTAAAATGTTAGCTGTTGTATTTAATCTGACATTTCATAAAATGATTTTAAATTAATTATCTCTTGAATGTAATTAAAACTATATCATTTTTTTAATTGAAATTGATAATCAACATTTTCTTCTTATTATTTTTCTTTTTTCTTAGATTAGATAATTTTTATCAGTTCCAATTAAAGAATGATATAGTTTTATTTCAATAATAGAGAGAGAAAAAGAAAAAATGTATTAAATATATTACTTTCAAATAATATAAAATATGTAAATATTATTTTAGCTATACCTGCAGCGATGTCATTGCCGCATTTTCTTCACGCTGATTCCAGTATATACGATAATGTGGAAGGTCTTAATCCGGATTCTAAAAAACATACTTCGCAAATTATAATACAGCCGGTAAATAGGATATTAATAATAAATAAAGCTATATTAGAATTCCAATTATTTTAACAAAATTTTAATCAATTAAATGAATTTCCATCGATTGAATCTATTTATCTGATAGACTACATTATTTAAACGAGAAATTATATACAATAGGAAAAAAATTGATAAAATTTTATTATCTACTTATATTATTTTGATGAATTTAAATGAATAAGATTTTATTTTATCTTATTATTGAGAAATTATTTATGTAATTATCTATTCAACATTCATTATCGTTTTTTTCACAATTTCTTTTTTTAATCTTATTATTTACTTAGTGATTTATATATATAAAACAAAACTAGTTACTCTTAAATAATTTTTATCTGGAGCATATTTTCTATAACGAAGAGTTACTTGGTATTTCATAAATAAAAACATGATATGTAAAACAATAATATATTCGAAAGTTATCCAATGATTATCTAATACCTATTAAAAATTAACGAGATAGTTAACTTAAATTTTTAATGTCAAAGTTGAAAATAATTGAATTTGATTATCAAAGATCAATAATGAAGAAAATCATATTTTTCTCTTTTTTTTTCCACAGACGATCGGTATCCCAATGAAAATTAACTCGAAAATACAGATTAATCTCGTTATGCAACGTACAATTTATAATTCCAAAATCAGGGCTTTTAATGATATGACGATACCATTATTTTGGACTGACTTGGTAAATATTTTCTTGTTTTTCAATATATAAATATAATATATAAAATGAAATATAATTCTATTCAATTATTAGAGGTATAAACATACTACTAAAATCACTCAATGTATAAAATTTCTTTTATAATTTAAATTTCTTCTTAATATATCTTTAATATATCTTTAATCGTTGTACCATATCTCCAATTCTCGAAATATAATACAATTTGTAGATTAAAATTTATTTATTCTAATAGATCTAAATTTATGTAATTTTCATTATCTTAAGATATTAAATTTTAAGAAATAATAAGTCATTAGCTCTATCCCCTTTCTAAAAATATATGTATACTAAAAACTATAATCAAATCAAATCCATATTTTCATAAATTTATTTTCAGGTAATGGATTCGTTACCAAATGATCTAACATTCATTTTAAAATTAATACTTCAAATATGCCCAATGGTACAAACAGTGATAATTTGGTTACTAGCTATCGCAGGAATGACGATGTTCGTATTATCGTTATTAGCTATATTGTGGACTATCAATCAGCAACAGGAACCACTTCCATCCGAAAGAAGAGAAAGTTGCGATTTACGAATACCATTGAATTATAGTCAATATACAACAATACGTATTTTGCCGAATATTAAAAAGATAAGATCCAAGTCAAATTTATTTAGTTAACCAGTTGCTATAGAAAAATTTTAGAAGTTCGTATACGTAATTAATAATAAAGGAAAAAGAAAAAATATTTTTATCTATTATAGAATAGTAATCAATTTTTTTCTTTGTGAAAAAAAATGTATCAACGTGCTATCTACTATTTTAATTGACTCAGAATACACAAAAAGGTATTCTATGTTACGATACACATTCAGGGTTTTGTGCTAAAAATATATGGATCGATATTATTCTATCGGAATATTATTATTTAATTTTTTTTTGTTCTTTTTTAATATATTATAAAATAATTTGAAATTTCATATACATATAATTGAATGTATATTATATAATGATAAATAATATTATAATGATATATCATATATATATCAGATAATAATATCATCTTATATTAATAATATTTTATATTAATTTTTATATGTATATAAATGTTATTATGATATTATTTATTATAATAATTTATATATATATATTATACATATATTTTAATATAATTATATCATATATATATATATATATATTATTAATACGTAACATAACCAATAATATGAACAAATTGAAAATTAAAAAAAGTGAATATTTTCAAATAATGAAAACAAATATATAAATTCTTTTATATTTTTATGTACAGAATACAATTGATGAAATTAATTTATAGAAAGATTTTAATTATATTAATTATTATTAATACTTGAAAGTAAATGCGAAAATTCAAAAATAATAAATGACTTACGTGTTTTTTAATATTAAATTTTTGTATTTTTATGTATATCTATATTCAATATTTTCATTGAAACAATAATCACTATAACACTTCATTCTATTCCGATTCGCATCACCGGAAATATCTTTACTACTCGAAACAAATCTTATATACGTTTCAGTATAGAGTTTCTTTTAATAAAAAAATATTATAATATAATTATGAATGTAATTAAATTAATTACAGTTTCTAATTAATATAACAAATTAATGAAAATTTATCAGTTACTATAAATATTTATGATTATACCTGATTTTGTTTGAATATTTTTGTAGAAATTAAATTATATTATATAAATTTTATAAAATCACACTTAAATCTCATTTAGAATTATTCAATATATAAAACAGAAACAACAATCATTACTTATTATATATTTATATTTACTTATGTCTTATATACAAAAATTGTTTTATCTATTATAATAAATTTTAATACTTTTATAATCAATTTTTTATTATAAAAATACTTAAGATAATATCTATATGATATATCATCTATTCTGTTATACAAATAATTAAAATAATAAACAATTTACTTCTAAAAATATTTTTATTGCATATAAATTCTATATGAAAATATAAATATTCTTTTGGAATAAAAATATTAATATAATTATTTCTAAAATATTTTCTAAAATATTAGCATACATATCATATAATACAATAAAATTACAAAGATTCCTTAGGAATTAGTAACAATTTTTTATGCATATACATGTTAACATCGTACGTCGATACGTCGATAATACAATTATATAATTATATAAAAATTATAATCCTATAAGAAAATTATATATTCTTAATTTAATATTTTTAACATTGTATTACATTTTTAACATATTTTTAGACTATACAATATAAACTATATATAGTTTACATTACAATGCATTTGCTATTAAGATCTGCATAACATATATAAAACAATTTACAAAATATAAAATTGAACATTTATATAAAAAATAAATTTTATTAAATTATAAATCATTTAATTTCTTAAATACATCATACATTTCAGGCCTATTTTGAGCCATATGATTACTACACCACTTTCCTAAGACTATAAAATTTTTAAAAACCTGCTTATCTTTCTCACCTGCTTTTTTATCTGTTAATAAAATAAGTTCATCTTCATCTTCCAATGTATCAATTAAATCTTTTAAGAATTTATTTTCTAATCTAGATTCATCATAAGCTGGTAAACCAGTAGCTAGTTCAAATAAAACTATACCATAACTATATGTATCTACTTTTGTAGACAATTTTCGTTCATGTAAAAATTCTTCTGGAAGATATGGTCTAGTACCATGAATTTTGCTTACCTGAAATAATAATAAAAAAATATATTATAAAATAAATTAATATTTCATTAATTTTTCCAAATATGATTTTTTGAATTACTTACTTTCATAGAATCATTTTCAGGACCTTCTCTTGCTAAACCAAAGTCACCAATTCTAGGTTCAAAATTTTTGTCAAGTAAAATATTAGCACTCTTGATATCACCATGTATCAAAGGTTTTTCTCCAATTGTATGTAAATACTGTAATCCACAAGCAGTACCTTTAGCTATTTCATGACGCTGAATCCAGGATAATGGTTGACTTTTCTGTCTCATTCGTAATCTGTCTTCTAAAGATCCATTTTTCATAAGTTGATAAATAAGACAAGGTACTTTGTCTATACTATATGCATATAATGGTAAAATATTTTCATGCCGACAAAAATTTAAAATTTTAATTTCTCTAAGAGATTGTTGAAGTTGAAGTACAAAACTTTCATCAGAATCTGCTCCTCTTTTTTCTATTTTTTTGATAGCTACATTTGTATTTTTCCAAATACCTATATAATAAATATATAATAATATATAATATAAAAAATAATTTCAAATTCAAATACAATTAAGAAGTTTTTAATTAATTTAAAAACTTTCTAATCTTTCTAATCACCTCTATATACAGTTCCAAAACCACCTCTTCCTAATATATTATTTTTATTCCATTCATTGGTAGCTATATTCAATTCATTATAAATAACACAAGGTATAGTTGCTTCTGGTTTCAAAATATTATCATCTTTTTTTCTATTTGTTGGAATACGTGATAAAGAAACTGGTAAAGGATTTGCTGCTGCTAAAGAAGCAACAAGTAAATTGTTAGAATTACTTGGACTAATTCCAATATGTATAGCTTGCATTGGTTTATTTAAAATTTTATAAGATTCTTCCTTAGTATTTTTTTCTACAGTAATTTTTGGTACATTTGGTTCTGGTGATGCAATGTGATTAAAATTTTGCTTTCCTATTTTTAAATCTTTTGTATTTTTATTTAACTGTTTTCCAAGTAATCTATGAAAATTTCCTTCACCATTGTAAAGTAATTTGTGAAACTTTTCTTCAACAAAAGGTATTAATGGTAACATAGATTGATAATGCTGCATTCTTGATAGTAAAACAAATAATTCCAATATAGTATGATTGTGATGTCCCCATAATGTTAATAATTCATCTGTTGGATTTTTTTTCTTTTCTTAAAGTTTGTATCGTCAATACATCATATTTCATATATATTCCTAAATAAATTTTTTACTTAATATTAATCTTTATATCAATGTGCATTATAAAAAGTAATCTCTTTTTGGCAAATGATAAGATTTTGATTTTCTCATAAAAAAACATTATTTCGTTTTCAAAATGTATTCATGACAAATGAATGCTATTAATGTTATTACTTTTCGTATTGTAATAATGAAAAGTATTATTAAATAATATAAACATTAGATTCAAACAAAATATTAGATTCTTTTTATAACTTACCACCAAGTTCTTCCCACTTGTCATTTTGATTGAGTATTTTACAAAGTTCCGATCGCGTAAAAAATGGCAATTGATAAATATATTCAATTTTATCTCTACAGATTGAGGATGTCATAATTAATATAATCTGTTCATAATAAGAAATCACTAATTTTTGAAATTTCTCAAAATAAATATGAATATATAACTAATATGAATAATACATGAGTAATAAATATTTCTCTTTCTTTATCAATTTTAGATTGAATATAATTTTTATACTAAATTCCCTAAATCATAGAAAGCACACCAAATATGCAATCAGTAATTCAGAACATATGTTATAAAATTCCATAAAATGGAAAATCTATTTTGTACTTTATCTGTGGTAAAATTAGTAATGCCCTCTAGAGATAAAATTTAAAATCAAGCAAACTTATTAAGTAAATTTTTTTTAATATTACGTTCGCCATTTTGGATCAGAATTACACGCTAAAAGTTGTGTATGTTGTGGCAAAGCGATTGTGCATGTTCTAAAAATATTGTGTCTATATAATTTTGAGTTATTAAAACACGACAAAGAGATGGCAGAGTATTTAGCATCAATTTTTGGCACAGAAAAAGATAAGTAAGTTGAATTTTTAAATTAATATTCTATTTAAAAATATTCTCCAAATTAACATCAATAATATTATTTTTTTTTTATTTTCAGAGTAAATTGTTCGTTTTATTTTAAAATCGGTGCTTGTCGACATGGAGATCGGTGTTCACGAATTCATAACAAGCCAACTTTCAGTCAGGTAAAAATGTTTTTCTTAACCTTCAAAATTTTTTAAATTCTTACATTACTAAATAATATTTTGTTATTTTACAAACTTTTATACATAAAAATTTTTATTGTTAATTTTAATTTTTTTATAATAAATAAATTATATAAGAGAAGTAAAAGTTACATAAATAAAATTAAATTATATAAATGTATTTATATCTATGTCATTTTAAACTTTCTTATACAATATATTTTTCATATCAATATTAGTTAAGAATTAAACTCTTTCAGACATGCTTATTGCAGAATCTTTATGTAAACCCTCAGAATTCAGCAAAAAGTGCAGATGGATCTCATTGTAAATATATTATAAATTATATTTTTATTAATATTTAATAATATTTTATTATTAGATTATGAAATCATATAATTATTAAATATATTTCTATAGTGGTTGCAAATGTATCTGATGAAGAAATGCAAGAACATTATGACAACTTTTTCGAGGATGTCTTTGTTGAATGTGAAGATAAATATGGTGAAATAGAAGAAATGAATGTGTGTGATAATCTTGGGGATCATTTAGTTGGAAATGTTTATATTAAATTTCGAAGAGAAGAAGATGCAGAAAGAGCTGTTAATGATTTGAATAATAGATGGTTTGGCGGAAGACCAGTTTATGCTGAACTTTCTCCAGTTACTGATTTTAGAGAAGCATGTTGTCGTCAATATGAAATGGGGTATATATTATCTACTATAATATGTGTATAATATGTATACATAATAAAATAACATTCAAAATAATTTATAATAAAAATAATTTTTATAAAATATAAATTAACATCTTTAAAATATTTTTGCAGAGAATGTACACGTTCAGGATTTTGTAATTTCATGCATTTGAAACCTATTTCACGGGAATTACGACGTTATTTATATAGTCGAAAAAAAGGTGGTAAAGGTCGATCTAGATCACGTTCGCGATCCCGTGGTCGCGATCGTAAACGAAGATCACGATCTCGTGACAGGAGATCCAGATCCAAAGATCGTCGAAAAGGTAGAGATGATAAAGGTAGAGATGGACGATCTGGAAGGTATTAATTATATTAATTTCCAATTGTAATAATTCTTCATAATAAAATGATTTAAATTTACTTATTACTTCTGTGACTGTTTGGTCAAAAATAATCTGCCAAAATATTTTTAAATTTTCATTTTTGAACATTTTTAACAATTATATTTCATTTTTAAATATGTTGAATTTCTTTAAATAATAATTAAAAAAAATGAAAAATATATTTCTATTAAAACAAAGTTTGACTTCACATAAGTACTTTTAAAATATGATTAAAAAATTAGAAATAAAAATACTCAAAATGATTATGAGATGTACTATAATGAGAACTGTTTTTAAAATATTAGATATAATATTAAAATATTCTTTTTAATAATTTGAATTTGTAAAATAGATATATCTGAATTTAAAGTATATATATATAT